AATCATTTTTGACACTGTCTAATCATGCATTGTGAGCAAACTAAGTTATATAATAATGTTTCACCGGTAACTTAATCATTAAGATAAAATATCGAAGTAACCCTAATGTTGCAATTAAAATGATGGTGCGACGAAAATTAGAGGACAGGCAGTCGATCTTTGACATCCAAACCCAGTCGATGCAGGAAACCACTATCGACGTCACGGCAACCGCAACAGGTAGGCTTTGGGAATATCTGAGTTTGATTGAAGAAAAACCAAGACGGGATGTACTACATTGAGTAGACAAATTACAAAAAAAGAGTGAATGTGTACAACTTTAGACTCCGCTGGTGGTGAGAAGGCTCTCTGGACTATTCCACAGTTAAGAATATCAGGAAATTTTAGGACAGAGAACTGCCTGCACCAATATCATCTCTATAAGTTATATTGCAGTTTTTATCTTTGTAGTTCTAGTTCTAAAGATGTGTGTGTGCAATTGCTGCTTCTACATTCGTCGTTCCCTATGTCTTGGACTAGGCGCGAATCCCTGAAGCGCTTGGGCATAGGGAAGCGATTTTGTGCAGCGATCGGGGAAAGCCTCCGCTACCCTCACAAATTGTAAGCAAACTCTACCCCAGATCGTTGCACTTGGTGGCAGCGGTACTTTTCAGGCCCACCCTTCGTGATTTTGTTCAGGTGTTATTCTGCTTTCAGCAGTTGAGTTACTCGCATTATTTAGCACTAAAATCTTAGGCTTTTCCGTCAACTCCAACCATCCCAGTGATCAATCAGTGTACAGTGAAAATAATATTAAAATGAACCTAGCTAACATTTAACAACATGGAGATGCAGGAGCTACAATATTAAATACATGATTTGCAACGGCAACTAGCTGACCTCGCAGCAAATTCGGCTCAAGAAAAGAAACCTCAAATCGTACAAACTATTGAGAGATTTATCAGTGGTTTCCCTCATTCACGAATTTAGTGGTGGGATAAACGGAGCAGGAAAATGGGTTAATGGGCAGAGGATGACAAAATTTATGCAGCGAAGATGAAACTCACAGGCGTGGCCAAGATATTTTACACAAGAAGTTGAAAATACAAAGTTGGAAAGTTTTAGTGAAATTTTCAAACAAAGAT